TTAGTCAAATCTCGCAGTTAGTCGCTGAGGTATTTAGTAATTAGAATCAGGTGGAATCAATCTTTACCGCCCCTATCTTAACATTAGTCAAACAGAATCAACCGTCGCCTGTAAGCCCAGGGGCAATCAAGCTTCTCAAGTACACTAAATAAATCAACTGTAATTAGTCAAATTCATCTCAGTTATTTCTCGCAACGAGCAAGTGGTCCTTCGTTAGAAATAGTAAATTAGTGCGATAATCCAGCATACAATTATTAGGGTTACCCACGAGCAATGTCATTTTTGGATACTGTGCGAAATTTTATTTTATTCAAAATTATCACTTTTTATTGTCACTAAATGGCATTAAATTTAACTCGTATTGTAATGTAACATAATTTCCCATAGACGTTTGAATACTTTCGTGAGCCACCGTACTTATAATCGCAAGGTCGGAATTCCGCGTTATTCGCCTAAATTCTCATTCGCGCCGGCTCGTTGTGTTCGAAAGCGACACCGAGAAATGAATCGACGAGCCGGCGAGTTGAGTTATCGGACGCGAGACGACGCGCGAAAGCGGAGATCTCTGGTTAAAGTTCCCACGGAAAGAAGTATCGAGGAAGATTTTTCGGGCAAAGTTTGATCACAAGTGTTCGGAGGATGGAGATTGCAAGGGCCGACGTTAGGAAAACGGTCCGCCAGCATACTTGGCGAACGCGATGCAATCGTAAAAGTAAAAGTTATCCGAAACTACGATTTAGGTTGAATACCCAAAAGTAAACAGGTTCTCCACGGCCATCACGGTATCCGAATCCGCGAGACATCGAGAGGAGGCGAGAGAGGCGACGAGATATGTGCAAGCGAAAAGAGGAAACAGTCGAAGAGAAACTCGTTTTGCCCGCGGGCAGGGAGAACTTGTCGTCGACTCGTTCTCTGATTGATCTTTGAAAAATCGCGGATTTGCCTCGATGCAACTTGCCCGAAAATCTTGACAGCTTTCATTGAAACACGTTGATTCGCCGATATTCGCGTGATTTCAACTTCTTCTCCGTCTGCTAGAGGCGATTGGCTGCGCAATGAAACGTCTTATGCTTCGATTCTCTCGTGTTGGGAATTTGATCAGAGTAAATGTACTGTTTGAACGACAACGATTTAC